TGAATATCCCATGGGATGAAGGCAAGCTCAGTCTCTGGCCGCGCCCACATAAGTGATCAGTGGATGCTCTTGCAGGAAGTACCTGCGGCGCTGCAAGCTTGGGTGCGCATGTGGCCTGAAGGGCTTGTGACCTCTGGGACCGAAGCAGAATCGGCAATTTGAATACCAGAGCTATGCCCTGCTGCAGACTGCCAATTGCTCCAGCGTAATCTCTACACTGGAAGCCGCGTTCCTCACACCCTAAAAAAAGGGCTGACCTTACCCTCCCCAAAATCGAAATGGAGCCCCATTCAAGCACTTCACACAGCTCCTTCATGTTAGTTTTGGGAGGATAAATCCTGGCCAAGACCACGAGAGCTTCCACGACAACTCATATTTGCTTTGAGCATCCCAGGTTCCTCTCCCCAAGCAAGATGATTCCGGAATCGTCCTCGCCGCCCCTTCAATTATGGTTGCAACCCTTGGCTAAGTCAGGAGAGCCACGTTTACGAGAGATGGCCAGATTCCTTCACGTGCGATGGTAGTAGGATCCTTACTGTCAGTTCATGACCTTGACTGCAAATAATATCCCTCTAAGACCCAAGTGCCCTGTTCTATCCCTATGCAATTTTGACATAGGGATCTTTCACTCTTTTTGTCTTTGGGTCAGAGCTTGCTCCCGACCACGTGCTCTAGAAATGCTTCTGGACGAATGCCTGGGACAGAAGGTAGGTTTGGAGAAGCTACTGCTGGGAGGCTTGGGCTCAGTGGTTTAGGTCGCATGGTTTTGGATGTAGGGGCTTGGAATTTCTAGAGTTTGGGGCTTGGGTGTGGCTTAGGCCTGAGGGCGAAAAGTCTATAGCGATGTTTCTCAAAATCCTGGTCCCGTTCTAATGTACTTGTCTGTGAGATCTGAGCTTGCGCATTTTGGGGCTGAGGGTCGTCAGGGCTGGGAGTTCTCTGGTGTCTTTCAAGGCTCAGCCCCTACTGACGGTTTTTTGCTTGCAAAGCGCTCCCATAACATCAACCCGGCTTCTGAAGTGGAAGTTAATAGTTGCCACTTCCAGGGAGCTTAAACCTGATAGACAAAACACTTTGGCCGAAAGTCTACGAAATTCTGTGGCAGATGTGCTGTGGGAGGCTGACATAGCCGATGAAACTACCTGGCTGAGAGAATGACCGCAATGGAAGTCACCTCCACTACCTACCGTCACAAATTGCTCTCTGAGATGCGTGGGAGTAAGGAGTACAAGCAGTACGTGTTTCAGTGGCTGGCTTAGGATCCCTCATGTCACCTGAAAAACCCTCAAGCAACACCCCCAACCCAAAATCCCAATCACTCGACCCTACGCCCTAATTTTCCGCAATCTCTTGAACAAGGCTGCCAGAATTGATGAGCGCTGAGTCGACAGAGGCTCTCTCAAATGCTGGGAGCTCTCCGTACCTGACACACTCTTGCTGTGCACCACTTGCCAAACAGGGTCGCTAAGCGACTGCCTTTCCTGGGATGAAGGCTACCGGAAGTGCTGCAGGATATAACTGCTGCAGGATATCCTTTTCTCTCCGTAGGAGCCTAGCCAAGAAAACTAGGGCTTTGCAGTGCAAGGTCTTTTGAGGACTCTTGGGCAGGGGCCCGTCACTGGAGGTCTTGCAGAGCTTGGGGTCTGCAAGAACTCCAAGAGGTTTGAGGAATGAGGTATTCTGTTCTGTGTTTGTACGCGAACCGTGAAGGAATTCTGTTGATGCTTTGCGAGGCTCCTGCATCGAAGCATTCTGGGCGAAAGGGAATAAAGTATAAAGTGTGTGGAGTCAGCCCACCAAAGCCCGAATGCCCTTGAAGGGACTCATATTCCGGAATAAAGGAAAGCGCCAACTTCACATCTCAAACGCTGCGGACCCGAAAGCAAGGCCCCGAATCACTCACGAGGAAAGCCGAGGCACTGCTTCCTTAAGGCCTGGAGGCATTTCCTTGGTCTGGCATCTTACTGGTGGCCAGTAGGGAATGAAGGAATGGGCTATCGGGACTATTAACAAGCCTTATACAGGAACTATTGTAGGGATCCATTCCTCCCTTCCCTCCAAGAGGGCGCCGTTGGCATGGGGCGGTGAGTAAAAGGGCTTGAAGTGCGTGTGTTTTACTTGGGAACAACTCACAGGCTTAAGGCTCCACAATGCCCAGAGTCAAGCTCTTGGGTAGGTGATCTTCAAATGATGCCCCTGATGCTGGCAATCGACAGTCCCCATAGGTCTTGCAAATCAAATCTCTGAACTCTTTTCTCTACATTCAATAGCGCAGCAAATTATAGTCTCCAGGTATCACCTGGAAAAAGCAAGCTATTGCCAACCAGAATCAGCAACATGAGAACCATGTTGGTCAACAAATTCCCACCACACCTAACCTACCCCCCCCCCCCCAACTTGGAACCTCGAAAGAATTGTATCACTCAACCCAAGCTCTTAAGAATCCCAGCTTCAGCTGGTACTTGAAAGTTGGCTGGCAATGGAGATGAGCTCCCTCAAAGATATGGACCTTCCCAAGATCTCGGGCTGGAGAGGATTTCTTGTGTATGTTTCAGGGTCTTGCATGCGGATCACACTAGCAGTATATAGGGGCTCCGGTGATTTTAGGTGGTGCGGAAACTTTCGGGAAAAAGGGTGTCAGATTTTGGGTTTTAGGAAAGGGTTCAGGGTGGAGGATTTGTTGCCATTCAGAGTGCTTTCGCGTAATGAGTCTGTATGGTTGAAGACTTTATCTCAAGCTCGTGGGCCACGTCTTCAAAGTCCCCTCCTATACGTGCCTTCCACAGGCTGTTTATATGCATCTTTGTGTATAGAGTATAGAGGAACCTAGACCCTCCATATGCAATGATGTGATACTATAACTGAAGGAGCGAGTTCAGGTCAGGCATACAAAGAAGGGCCCCAAGTAAGGGAGATTGTCAGAGGGACCCTTCAGCTACCTGCCTGCAGTCCAGTCCACCTGCTGAACCTAAACCTAACAGGATTAGGCCCTACTGTGACCACCCGCAAAGGGTCCATCACAGGGCTTAGGATTTAGTTGAGTAACCAAAGGCAAAACTCAGCGGATCACCCCCACCCAATTTGGGGACACCTTCTGATCCTCTGAGATTAAGCCTGCCCCCAAATGTATCACAGTGTATTTGGGCTCCAGAGGAATGGAGGAGTGGGGAATCCTGGGATTATACAAGGGGTAATATGGGGGTACCATAGGTTTATAGGGGTTATGTTAGGGAAATAAAATTGAAACTACTATTCTAAGGTGTATATATAGGGGTTATATCGTGGATGTTCGGTGGGTCAAGTTCATAAGAACGGTCCTGTTTTGTTTTGTCACCGCTTGGGCTTCCATGTCGGCTTTGGGGAGAGGAACCCTGAGGGTCCAAGGACCCAAATAATGGGGCTTCAGGGTTCAAATGCCATTAATATTATAGTATTTGGGCCCTAAAACCCTATTATTTGGGTCCTTGGACCCTTAGGGGAGATACGTGAAATGCCCAGTGACATGCGTCTCGCGTCGGCCCTGGTGGATGGCCCGCCTTGGCTGAAACCATCCCTCAACCCTTAAACCCTTAAAGCCTAAACCCATGACTCCAGTGTTTCTCGAAGAGGGGGTCCCCTACATGTTGGGACCCCAGGGACATATTCAGGCCCAGGCATCGCAAAGAGATTAAAGGAAAGTGATTAGATAAGTATACTTTTCTGAGGAGCTCCGACATGATTCTGGTCTTCTCAAAGTAGGGGAACCCTTGTGTTGCATGTGACTGCCTGCAGGACCTCAGGGATAACTGCGAGCTAATTATAGAGTGCATTTCCAGGACTCTGAAAGTGGATGAGCACCTATACCGCCGCAACAAACATGGAAGCTGAAGCTCCAAACAAAGGCTGCCACTCCACAAAAGCGTCTGAATGAACCTTGCCTCTTGCTTGCAGGGAAGGGAGGAGCCGGCTGTTGGGGATTCTGCAGGGATGGCTGAATCAGGGAACTTCTGATCCCTAAGTGATCCTACCGTGCATCTTCAAAGCCAACAGTTAGGAAAGCCAGGCTTCTCGTTGTCGAGGAGGAAGGGTATGTAGCACAAGCCGCAAAGCTTCATCAGCTCGACCAGGCCTTCCATTGAAAAGCTTCTTTTGGTGCCTTGTACCAAGGGTAAACTTCGGTTTTCCTTGTACATCCATCGCAAGAAATCTTGAAATTCACTCTTGCGAAGGGGCACTCTCGTGGAAACCTGCGTCGGGTGCCAATGGCTTGGCGTGGCTATATTTCATGCCGCTTGAAAGAATAATTTGGCAATAGATCAGGAAGAAGGAAACTGTTGCAATCAACCGACGGCCAAGTGAAAATCCCACAGCTAAGTGCTGAACTCCAATTTGCTGCCCTGTCTATGGCACATCACCATCTTTACATGTACTGCTTCTGCAAACCTGTTTTGGGTCAAGGATTCCCGCTGAAATCCGAAGCGCAGCCCATAGATCAGAGGTCTAAAGGCCTAAACAAGGATTTGATAAGTTTTGTTGAACGTTTGCTTTGCGTTTGTTGACTCTTCTTGGGGGGCGACCCTGGAATCAAAGAGCCATGGATCGAACCCCTGCTACGAACCCCTGATGCCTTAAAAAATATATAACCCATATATATACCATATATATGGGTTATATGAAATCTGGGGGCAAAAGTTTGCATGAGATGCCATGGCCTTGACTTAATCTATGGCTGTCACTACTCTGCTGCGTTGCCACCTCAGACCCTAAACCCTAAACCATCAGTGAAGCTGCACCTCGGGCGCGCCTGCCTATTTGGATGATGGGCATGCTCAGTCATGCTACTCACTCTGATGCGTCCAGTTGACATGTTGGAAGCACGGAAAACATACCCTCTTTCAGAAACTACGGATCTGTGAGTTAATTGTTCATAAGCCCGGGCCTCTAAACCATCTGCAGTCAAAATCCCTCTGCTCCCTGGCTGTAATCCTCCCCCATATGCTGTGAAGCAGGCTCGAGTTCTTTCACACCCCACGATACCCACCTGGTCCCACACTCAACTTGGAGTTGTCCTGGTCCGGATAGCCGGTGAGGTCTTCGACGCGGAAAACCCAGGCCCAAACGGCGGGATACTCCATGACAATCCTTTTCAGGTGATGCATGTGGGCCGTTTCCAAAGTTGCTGGGTTTTCCAGTTCACCTCAGCCTGTTAAGGCCTGATGCAACACGAAGGGTCCGTCCCTGACCTTGCAGCAAGGGTACTGTTCGGTGCGGTCATGCTTACAATTCCTAACGCATGCGAGTTCACACCTTGCGCGGCGCCAAAGCTCTCCACGACTAATCCTGTAGCAGGGGCAACATCTTTCCAATTTTCAAACCCCACAAGGCACAGAAACCCTAAATTATAGTTTCCATCTTCTGTTCCAATAAAATACCCTAGATGACCCAAATATGTCCTCTGGATAGCGTTCTATCCCTAACCCCCGAAGCCCAACACTAAAGCCTCGACGGGAGTGGATCTGTTGCCAGCTGCCGAAGCTGCCCTCGAGGGTATGGATTGGGGTTTAGTAGTATTGTGGTATTATAATATTATTACAGTAGTATTGTAGTATTATAGTATCATAGTAGTATAGTACTATGGTATTATAGTAGTATTGGGGTTATATAGAGGGCATGATGGAAAAGAACATGGAAACCGCTATAGTATATTGGGGACTATATAACGTGGCCCGGTCCCAACCATGTAATCGACTTTCCCTCGCAGCATTTTGGCTTCCAGTTTACAGTGTTTTGGGGATAAGGGAGGATGTCGAGGGCTCTGGGCTTCAGAAATCAACATACTTCAAACGTGAACACTGCACTGCGCCCTAAACCCTGAAGTTTCAGGTTTGTAGGTTTGGGCGGGACAGGTGGAGGAAGCACGTGCCTCAGAATTGGGGCCCTACTTCGGTCATGGGACATCAGAACTGCACGCACCAAACCCCAGACAAGTAAGAACAGCACGCAATGCAAACACCCTCATCCACGCTTAGGTGGCGCTATGTGCAACATAGGACACAATCAGTAGGATCCAGTCACACGATTCCCATTTCGTCCCAGCATCAGATGCCAATCACTATGAATACATGACCTGATGATTGGGTTGTTGCAGCAACGAAAAGGCAGCTGAAATGAAAGCGTCGCCACCCTGTCACCCCCACCGAGGGTTCTTCTGTTGGGTGGGCCTTAGACATCATGTCCTGAACCCTGGAAACAAAATTCTAGGCACCGAAGCCCCAGGTCCCTGAATCTGCCCATGCTGGCCGTAGACTGCGAAGTCAGCGCTCGTGGGACGACTGCCAAAGATGAAGGGGCGACCTTCCCAATCATGGAGGGCATTCTTGTGAAGTTTAGAGTTTAGCGTGTAGGGCCCTGCCCTCTACAGTCTCTAATGGAGTCCCCAGAATGCACGATGTCACTGCGCTGCCCATACCCGCCAACCCCAAAAGTCACCCCCCTCCCAATTCCAAGCCTCCCGCCTTGCCGTAGATTGGCATCCAAAGCCGCGCAGACCATGCGAAGTGTTTTTTCCATGCCTCATCTGATGCCATGCCCCTGAACTAGATCCAGAATTTTTATGCTTTCACACATCCAGGCTTGTGGGCTAAACCGTTTGGCAACATTTCAGAACAAAGATCCTTTGAGCTCCTCTGCCTCTCTTCATGCATTGAATCTTTTAGATTTTCAAGGCCAGAGACTGTTGAGAACAGATTGGCTCTGCTGTTTGGCACATTTTATCAGGCTCAGGCTATCCTTAGGAGGTCATGAGGAGGAACCCTTAGGCAGTCTCAACGAGGCTTTTTACCGCTTAGATTATCCCATGGACTTTCCAACAAATTTGGCCAGCCTCCAATTCTCAAGGCTTTCGAATGAAGTGCCAACGCACCCATATACTGACGGCAACATCACTGATTCTGGGACTGGGACTATCAAACCAGCAAGGGTGCATGATAAGGCCAGGGTGGGGGGAGCCGGAGTACAGGGAGGACACGGAAGAAGAGCAAGGAGAGACAAAGAGGGAAGGGTGAGACTTGTGCCTGTGACACTCGGACCGAACAACGCAAGACAGGTGAAGCGTAGACATGGAACCCAAAGCCCTGAATCATAAGTGGGGTGGATCCCCCATAATAGCCCTGCATAACCCGATCAGTGCCAACTAACGAGCAGCGGGCCAACCTAGCAGAGCATCCTGAAGGATGTCTAAAACCAATCCCTTCCTAGTTCTCACCGCGTGGATATCCTATACCTCACTTCCTAGACTCAAATCCAAAACCCCCATGCAAAGTTTTTGCTCGTGCATACTGCTGCATCAACCTTTCAGGACATTCACATGCTGAGCCTTGCAGGACCCCATTGAACTACGTTACAATCTTACTGTTGCTATTCCTGTGTACCAAGAACGCTTCATCATAATCACTTACTCCCTCCATGGACAGATTGGCGCGAGATGCAGCTCCAATCGGAACATCCTACCTGGGCTGCTGGGTCAGTAGGTTGCTTCTTGTCGCGTTCTGGTTAAACCGCTTACTGACAATTGCCCTGACCCCTAAGCCTTAAAGGGATCCAATGACCCTCAACCGTTTGGATAAGAAGCTCAAAAGTTCCTACCATAACATATACTACTGTAGTATATACTAGAACATACTAACAGATATACTATCATATGTACTAAACAGAAATCAAGCCACCAGTGCCCGGCGCTCGCGTTGTCGAGCTGCAAACATCTCTGCAGCTGCAATGGCTGCATCGGCATTCTTGGCCTGCACACGAAAACTCCCAAAGCCAACAGAAAAACTGACAAGCTCTATCTGTACAAGAGTGGCTATGAGTTTCCATGTTGGTGGTTTGGGGGAATGTATAAAACACGCCTGGATCATCCCAAAGCCTCCTGAATCTAGATATTGGGAATGCGAGAGAATGGTGTAGGTTGAAGGTGTAGTGCAGGGCTTTCAGATGTTTAGGGCTTCAAAGTCAAGATGCAAGCAGCCTCCACTGGGGTAACGCTGGATACGATACCGTTCACAAGTGGCAATATGGGGGAGGCGCGAACAAGAGCGCACCTAAACACAGGCTTATTTGCAAGAAGACCAGATCTCCTTGTTTCTCTGATATACACCGAAATACAAAAATCATGATTCTTATATGGTGTGCCTTCAAGCATGTACTCAGTACTCCTACCCGCCAACTGCCGGGGTTTTGAGTAAGCTTGAGGAGATACATGGAAGTTGACAGTCATTATCAAGGGTCACCACTAAGGGTCATGGTTTTAAGTTTTAAGCATGGCCGCCTGGTCGGGACTTTGAAGCACTTGCCAGGTAGCCCCGAACTTGGCATCCTCCTGCGTATGGAAGCGCGCCTCGAACATGACCTTGCCAAAAAGGTGTGACAGTGACAAGTTTAAGGCATCGGCCTTGAAAAATCTCGTGCGCATGGAGCATGATATCGGTTTAGAGGCGGAGAAGAGGTACTTGCAACATGCAGAAGCCCATATGAACTCCCTGAAGCTTACATGCATGCCGACCCCTGCAATCTGCGTGAAAGAATAAAGCCTCATGACAAAATGGCCTTTATTACCACGTCTTCCCACTTTCCAAAAACTCCCACTGCAAAAGCTGGCAACACCTTCTTCAGTGACCTTGGTGAGCCACTCGTCGGCAAAGTCCTCGATCAGGGCGCAGAGGAAGCCATGGCCACAACTTTCCTGAACAATCATTGGGGCGGAGCTTGGGAAGTTTTACCACGCATACAAAACATGGAAGCCCACAAGGGCGCTTTGCAAGAACTGTATGGGTTCCATGCCACCCTTGGGGGCCTTCTATCACAGAGCGTGCAACTGTCTGAGTCATGAATGAGGCCCGTGTTTCTGAACAGCAACTTTTCTTTTGTTGGGTCAAAGCTTCAATCCAGGAGCTTCAACTGGCACCTCATTGCTGGTCTTTCTGGTCGAATGGTTCCAAGCAAAGCCTAGTACAATCCCAACCTCCCCCGTGAGATGCCCAGGAGCCGGATGGAGGTTCCGTCGAGGTGTGCCGTGCAGAGCTTCCAGTTCCAGCAGAAGTGGAGTGGAGTCATTGGCATACCTTGGGTTAGATCGCTCCCTCTACTCATAATAACCACCAGAGTTGGGGAAAGCCGTGCATAAATGGATTCGTGCTTCAAGGCACCTCATCAATGCACACACCTTAAAGCTAGGATACCAAACATGGCTGTCGAAGATTTTCCTTGGTTTTGGCAGATGGCTTAGTTGGGCCCGGTCCCGCAGATCACAATATGCAGCGACCCATATTGAGCCATCGTCCTGACTGAAGCCAGAAACAAAGCTATCTGAGTAGGATGTCGAGCACAGTTTCTGATGCTGCATTGCGGGCAGCTGTCAAAATCATCATGGGTCATAATTCGGCCCTGTGAAGCTATGATTGTAACATGGCCCTTCAACACTGCTACCAACCAAATCCGTGCGCCACATCCCCACCTTGGATTCCTGCATCCCTTGCCACGCAAGAACCTTTCAAAGTTGTGGATCCGTCTCCCGGGGATCTTTCTTGCGCTTAGACTTATGTAAAGGCCCCTGACTTTGAGATATAGCGATGCTACCTGGAGCCCGCACTGGATACTTCCGAGGTCTTGAGCTTATGCAAATGATGGCCATGGACATAATGGATTCGCCCTGCAAGAGTCCAGCAGGGCATGGCGGCCAAACCGTTGAATGGTCGAGGTACGTTCCGTCTGGACGTACCAACACAGGAATGACCTTTGTCTTGATCTCCGGAAAGTGCGTAGCAAACCTAGCATGTACTCAAATGCCAATTGAGGGCTGGAGGTTGCGAGGCTTCAGAAGGACACATCTACATGCTCTTGGGATGATTAGGGGACCACACATACTGGAAGGCTGCAATATTCTGCTGCAGGAGTTCCTATGGCCGAGAACACTTTGCGATCGCAAATGGGAAATCTGCTTCTCCCAGCTGACAATCTGGTGCTACCAGCTCACTCAACCGCTTCTGGATTGGTTGAGGCCATCCTTTTCAGAGCCTGCTGATTGTATTCGGAGAACCAGCGCCCGCTTTAGGGTAAGACCTGGAGAGGCACCATCATCTGAGCTAGAACCTAAACTAGTCTAAACTCCTGGTATCCCCCTTGATATAATCGAAAGTAGTCCACTATACAATGCCCTATGTAATCCCCTTTAAGGCTTAAAGGTCTTTAGACTATAGCTCGTCTGGACAACCCACCAGATGAAGATGTGTATGATGCAGGAGTTTCCTGTGATCAATGCGCAGTTCACAGCAGACATCAGCTGTAGTTCGGTAATTCGGCCAGGATCCCAAACCTTCCATATGTCAACTAGACACTAAGCATGCGCCAGGCTCCCATCCGCATTTCGTACATCCAAACTAATTGGCAGCACCAATGCAAATGATGATGGTAACTATGCGTGATCATGAGCTATAAGCTGGAAACGCCGCCAGTACTTGGGGCGGGGCCTCATAAGTACGCGAATCAAGTGGCCAAGCAGCATGTCGCCCGATTGCCCACGCGCTTGGAAGACAGGTATCCACTCATACGCCACGCGCAGATACCTGCAAGCTACACCACAGGCAGGTTTCTCGGGGACCAGCATGTATATCTCAGGTCAATCATGCACCCTCAGCCCACCAAATCTGAAGCTGCGATACAGAACAAATGTCGGGCGGATGGCTGTTTGCTGTCTAGCAAGATGTGATCAAGGCCTGTTGAGTAGGACCAGGCCCCCCAAAGTTACTCTGATACAACCACCAGTACCCCTCCAAGTTGCTTACAGCTAGCCGGTGGGCCATCCTTGCTTTGGAGGGTGCTTATGGGAATTACAGCCTCCAACTGATTTAGCCCGAGGCACCCCAAAACTCCACGCCCTTCACCCTGAAACTCCAAGCCCCAAACACTTGACCGACCCACAAGCTCCCACACCCAATCTGAAATCTTGAGTCCATACTTGTCCATACACTCTGAGCCTAGACCCTCATCTTCAACTCCAACTATTTGGCTCCTGAACGTTGGAGTGCTGAAAAACCAATCTTAGTAGACTGCTAAGCAGTGGCTTTCAAGGCAGAATTTGCCAACGCTTAACCCAAACAAGTCCTGCATGCCCAGGAGCCCGAACTCAAACTCCACATCCCTACCGCCGCTCAAGCTTGAAACATCCTTGACGCGTAGAAGCTCTGAAGCCCTGAAAAACCACCACCCCTAGTCCCCAAGCCCAACCTGAGTGCCGCTCGCACTTTGCAGCTGTAGGGGGATCCGTCAGAGCCATACCTTGGCGTTTTCGGGATCAGGCCCAGGGTGGGCACAAAGCTTCGGGATTTAGACCAAGCTCCACAGCGGACCCTGGATGTTGGATTCCCTGGCGAACCGTACGAAAATGTGTAACGGCGGCTTGCGCTGCTTACGGAAAGTCTTGCAGCATTCTATGCCGAAGCTTTTTGAAAGCTCTCGAGGTCAAGCTTCCAAAGCAAAAGCCTTCAACAACATGATTTTGAGTGCGAGTCTCATGCTTATCAGCATTGTTTTTTCTCCATGTTTTCAAACTGCCAACATGGCAAGCGTGTCGAAGATTTTTCTGACCCCACACGCGCACACATAATCCCTCACATGATTGCTCAGGAACCTCCTCATGCCTCTGAACAAGAGCCAACGGTCAGCAAACTAAATCTCTGCCAAGGGGCAGCTTGTAAACTGGCACCGCCATGGGTCTGTCTGGCTCCATGTGACTCCGCGTGGGCGCACAACCAAGCCAAGCTTAATTGCAGACAGTTAACTTTCTTGTTTGCAACTGGATTCTTTCCGCAAGTACTGCTGCGCCGGAAATTATTTCTGGGGTCTAGCGTCTTGGGCGTTGGACTCTGCTAGATGCTTGTTGCCTTTGAAGAACCTTTGGCTCTGCTTCTGAACTTACTTATGTCAGTTATGAAGTTCAGGCACTGTGAGATTTGCAGTGAAAATGGCTGTGCGTCAATGCGGTGGAGAGTAGGTCTGGTTACCTCCTGATACAACCTCACAAAACAGCTACCCGGATGCCTGATCCTGAAACCAACAGATGTTTCCTCAAATACGGTGCTGCTCTAAACCTTCAGCCCAAACCCTTCCACTCCCCGCCCGCTAGGTTCCCTCCGTGGGAGGCTTGCCTCCCCAGCCCTGAAACCGGCGAAACCCACAAGTCCTCCCTGAACTGCGAAGAACCAAACCTTAAGGACTTATGGTGGGGACCGTTCCTCTTAAATGAGGCAGATAATTTTTGGGCCTTGGGAGAGGGCAACCACTCTCAAACAAAAGCCTACCTAAACAAACCTCCGGTCAATGACGAGGGCACTGCATCCAGGACATGTCGCCGCAGCCCACATCCAGGAGAGTGCGAATGTCCGGAAAGCGTGCCATCAACTGCAGCTCACTGCATTGCTGCTTAGGAAAGCTAGAGAAAACACAAACGCTGTACCACATACGTATTACTATGCATCTACTTTTTGCAACTAAACTTCAATGCCTGACCTGCAACCCAGTCAAGGGGTGTAGGGTTTGGGGTTTGCGTTACGGGGGTTGGAGAGAGTGCAGCATGAGGGTGTATGGGCGCACGGGTCTACCCAGGAAGTTTGTAATCTCTTCATCTAAGCCATGGGGCAGGCAAGAGCTTTCAGGCATAGTAGGCTAGCAGCCATGCCATACGCTAAAAAAAGTTCTAATTTGCGCTCTTTAGGTCAGGCCTCTACTACCCTTGTCTGGGGACAATGTTTCATTCAGCTTCAACTGACCCTTAACTACTATCAGCGGAAATTCTGCTGATGCCACATATGGACGTACAGCAAACACGGAGCCCCACGTAAGCCTCTCTTCTAGGAGGATGACAGCCTTTGCAGGATTCCTTTCGGGGATCAGGTCTGTTTGGCAGAGAGGCGAAACGAGGAACTCCGCGGCAATTTGCAGAACGTAGGAAACGAATGGGGGCATGTTTGCCACGGGCATAGTGTACGCTACTCAGAGGAGACTGACCGAATGATCTGTCAGGTTTTCTTCTACCCTACCCCCCACGGCTCTGGTGTGATCACCAATGTTTTCGCAGACTTTGACTACCATAATTCTAATAATAGCAATAATAGTAATAATAATTGTAATAATAATAGTAGTATGAATAATAGTACTAATAATAACAACTCATACCTCTCAAGAACTTGAACTCCGAAAACACCGCGGCCACCGCTACAGCCTTCGACGAAGAATGCCGCTGTGTAAACTCTGAGTGGACGAAGACCATCACAAGACTTTGGCTATACCTTGTGGAGGCTCTACTGTTTGGCATCTGAGAATGATCTCACGCGTGCTCGTCCATAGGCTCAGGCTTGCTTGCAGGCTGACCACAGCACGGCGCGGTATCCGCACTGGGCAGAGCGCTGAGGATGACTGTAAAAGCTGCTCCTGTTCTTGCGCCTGGTAGCCGTGAAGGCACGGTCTCCCTCCTTGCTCTTTCCTTGCTGCGCTTTTGGGCGTTGGAGGCTTCTCAATCATCCCAAGGTCCCGAAGACGAGGGCTGCTAGGGCTTACAGAAGAGCATTTAAGGTTTTTGTGTTTTTAGATGTAACGTATACGAACGAGGCACAATCAGGGTGGAAACTCCGGAGGCCCTGAAGCATAGACTGGGCAAATTGGTCAGCATCTCATATGTTGGGATGACAAACCTTTTCAGGTTGGGTATGAGTAAAAGAGGGTCGCTAGATTCATCCTCATGGCCGCCCTGTTCTTGAAACATCCCAGAGTTAGCAGCATGTTTTTCTAAAACCCTAGACCCTAAGTGCTGTTTAGTCGTGGATCCCCTTCTTCATTGTTTGAGGATACTGTGGAGAATGCTTCAGAAATTCATAGAGCTCTTTCGGAGCAACACGTGTTATCATAAAGGGATTGCTTAAGAGGCCCAATTCTGCCAGGCACAATAATGAATGGCAACCTCCCTTGACCCTATGCCCAAACCCCCCAAGAGCCAACCATAGGAACCACTAAGCCTGAAAGACCCTAGGCCCCACCAATCCCCCCTTAACCTTCATACGACGCAAGAGTTCATCCCCTGGATGCCTTGCTCAAGGCATTCACTGCTAAACGCGCCATCGGATGCCAGGGATCTGCGCCTGAAAGGGGACGATCGCGGAGGGATAGCATAGGTCCCCATCAAGGATTCAAAAGAAACAATTTCTAGGAACTCGGACTAGATCAGGCCATACTGCACTCTGGAGGTGCCAGCATAGACAGTGTTTCAATCCTCAGCACTGTCCAGCCCCGACCCTCACTAATGTGCTTGTTGACTCGGCGAGGCCCCATTCGGAAGAGCAAAATCCAAATGTAACCACGCGCATTGCATGAGCTTGTCTGCCAACAACGTATCATACCTAGGACTTTATCAAAGGATCATAAGAAATCTGCTCGGGAAGCTTCACCGCGAACGCACACACGCACGCAAGTCCCTGATCCTTTCCAAACCCTCAGCCCTGAAATCACGGGCCACACTCATTGACTTGAATCCCCTCCGATGAAATCGGACATCGGGGAAAACGACCATGAACAACAGGCGAAACAGGAAAAACTTAGGTTTCTGCATGCGGTTCTATTGCAACTGATCACTTTTTTGATGCCAGGTTCAAGTATGCACAAAGATGTAATGGGAGTTATTCAACGAAACCCAATTAGACACCGCGAAGCTGATTTGAGCCTAGCCGAAAAACTTACCTCGGTTTACCAGGGAATGATAGGAAGAAAAAAAACATGGAGACACTATATCATTGGGGATCATAGAAGGATCCTTTCCTTCATTCCCTGCTAACCAAGGGCAATAAAGACTTTTCATCGAACTAGAGAAAACCTCGCAGAAACTTTCAACAAAACTTCTAAGCCTCTGAGAACGCCTGGAAATTTTACAGGCAGCCTGGCCAAAATAAGCAGGTTGAAAACTGATAAACTTCTACAGCCCCCTACCAATATCGAAAACCTCATAAACCAGAATTGAGAGCCCCAGATGCCAATCCAACCCTATAGTCCCCCTTAAGTAGATAGAACATGGGCATATAGGGGGATCTTGTTATAATAAACCCAAAGCCATATTCTATCTACTTAAAAAGGACTATAAGCCTGAGCTCCCAGGGTCCCTGGCGTGCTCCGCTGAGGGAGCTGAAGCCGCCGAGGAGGTTGGAATGGTAAACCTGGGAGCTACGTTTTCCTCATTTTTTGTAGGGTATTTGGGTGAAGCTCTGCGTGCGATGGCCCCCAGGCAAAGAAAAAGGCGTTTCCCCAAAGACTCGACTTAACAATCTTCTCCGATTCGAGGTCATCCTTGGTGCTTGTTAGTCGTATGGCCTAGCCTGAGACATATCATTGAATCATCAGTAGTTGGCGCGCATATGGGCTGATGAAGGCGACTGCTAAGGGCGCAAGTGACCTCATGCAAGTCCCAAGTAACTCTGATATGGCCCTGGGGTACAGTCTACTGTGATTACAGAGAATAATAATGTCGGGATTTGTTCAATGATAGGTAGGTATGCGCATCGAGTGTCCTTATGCGCATCACACCTGCCAGAGACCTTGGTACAAGTAGGAACTTCCTCGTTGTAGCAAATTCGCATGTGCCTGCCCTTGAATTGGTACTACAGCGCTATAAGACTTTCTGGGAGGACTGTGATCGGTTCCGTTCTGTCGATGAAGCTTCCTGGGCCCCGCAGGTGCAAATCTCAAAGCCTACCCTTGAGCCTTTATTGTCATCCTTCAGAAGTTCCGTTCTCAAGATTGTGGTATTCTAGGGAATCTAGGGGTATACAGGAATGACAAAGGATCAGGGGATCCTGATTCAAGATTTTCTTGGAGGAAAGCCATAGTGGATTCTCTTTATCTGCTGTCTGCCATCTGCTTGAAGGCTTTTTGTGGGGACGTCTCAGGATGATAGTTCCCTCCTGCGAGATTGTATGAGCCAGTCTAAACTCCTAGTATACCCCTTAATAACTCCCATCGCAGTCGCTATATAATCCCCTGTATAACCTCGTGTCAGGGAGAAGATCCTGCCATCTTATCTTGGGTCAGTATCTGCAGAGTGCCCCCAATTCTAAACTTGGCCTTGTCTCTCTAACCCCCACTGCAAGCCTAGGTGTTTCATCAATGACGAACACGAGCCCGAACTGAAAAACAACTTCACAGACTGACTTCACTGTGGCCACGACAGTACCGAATGCGTCATACTTGTGCTGCAGCGAGATCATATCAGGCCTCTCAATCCATAAGGGCTCCCAAGTCTACGTGCCGCTAGGGGCTTGAGGTTCAGGGGTTGGGGGTAAGGGGTGTAGGGATTGCTTATGGAACTCACTGACCACAATGCTGGGACAGAGTCGCTCCTTCGTCTCTTTAAAGGCCATTTGTCGTTTGAACTGTTGCGACTGGCCTCCACTCTGCTGCAACTTTCATGTCGCACTCAAAGGTCAGGACCTAAGATTTGCTCAGAACTTGTTTCATTGACTTGCTTGCCCTTGGAGGAAGGAGTTGACTGCAGACAGACATGCAGCAGGGCGAGTCTGCTGATGGGTCTCCATTTTCCGCAGTCGGCGGGGAAGAGTGAAGGGTTTGGCACCGCATGGCTATACAGGCTATACAGTTTGAGTCTGCACGCACAGGTGTTCGCCTCAGGCGAGGTCCTGGCAAAAAGGAAGTTCATGGTGCCGTAGTGCCCAGTG